GCATTCTCCCGATAGCTGCAACAAAGTTTCTCTCAGAACAAGCTGCCAGAAAAATCTCACAATTACGCCATACTGTTTGTTTTTCGTTCTTTCTGCAAACTGCGAACAAGCCACCCTGCTATAAGCTTCTGTATTTGTAATAAACTATATATCAGAACCATCTACTCTGCTTGCTCTCAAAGTGGTCCTCACAACAAAACCATGCCGTTTGCTCTACCTGAACCTCAAAACACGCTCTCTCAGAAGAGGCAACACTTCATGCTCTCTATATAATGCAACAAACACACTCTCAGAAAAAATCATTTTGCTCTCTCATCCTGATCATGTTACAAAATCTCTCTCAGGACAAGCCTCATTGTTGACTGTTACTGAAGCTGCAAAACAGAATGTCTCAGAAACAGCAACACTTCCCGATCACTCTATGCGAGCAACATGCGCTCTCGGCCAAACAATTCTTTCTTCCAACAATTGAAATATCGCTCTCTCAGCACAGACTACGCTGACAGGTCTTTCTGTAATTGTAAGAAATACTCTCTCACAAGCGTCAAAGCTCGGTCCCTCAGCACAGACCACAGTGCGCGCTGAGCCGTCCCACCTGGGGTCGTTGAGCACGGCGTGCAGGGCTTCGCGCAGGGAGTCGGGCGTGATGTCGTAGAAGTGCAGCACGCGTGCCGCGCCGCGCTCCTCCCACAGCCGCCCGTTCTGGCGCTGGTCCGTGAAGAAGGGCACCACCACGGCTGGCACCGCCCAATGCAGCGCCTCCTGTGTGCTGGCCAGCCCTCCGTGTGAGATGAACGCGCGGATTTTGGGATGGCCTGAGGCAAACCATTTGAACTGTTAAAAACGCGTTTGGTGGCTAGGAACGCCTCTCGGAAAGAAGTAATATTTTCCAGTTTTTGTCTATATTATCTAATCAATAATATTATCTAATCTTCTATCTACTATAATATCTAATCGCGTCTAGTGTTGGAGGTACTTGTCTAATAGTACTGGAGGAGATTTGAGGTTCTCAAGTCAAACGTGGAAATGCCCCCATGCCACTCTCGTGTCCTAATCACCCGTCCTATCACCTTTTCTGTGCCCCAATATCAATCATATTGTTTCGGGAACAAAACACCGCGAGTGTCAACTGTCTTCACCTGGCGACGTCCTGCGCGATATAGGCGAAACGACTTGCGGAAAAAGAGCAGCAAACGGTTGAGGTCGTAGAAATGCGAGAGGAAATACGGTCGGCAGACGAGGTAGTAGGCGCACGTAATTGTATGGCCTGTCTCAAGGGAAGGGTCTCTATTTCGAAACCCGTCAAGAGCTTCCGAATTTTCCCTCCGTCGTTCATAAACAGTCTCTCCCCTTCTTTCGTGAAGGATGTATTCTGTCACAAATGCAGGAGGCACGCAAATAAGTCAATGGCTTTGCTTAATAATGTCAGTATGGTTAATAATGCCACTTTTGTTTAATAATGGCAGATTGGTTAATATGGCACTTTGTTTAATAATGGCACTTTGGTTAATAATGGCACTTTGGTTAATAATGGCACTTTGG